ATGGCGACAATGGTGTAACCATTTTAAATCTAGGCCACCGGATATTCTAGAAAGTTGATTATAGGCTTGACATGAGTATAAATGTGTACATGATATTTTATATAACATTTGAGATCAAAATAAAGACCCACACTATATCGATTTAGCTGTTGCATAATGCATCTTTAACTTGCCGTTGATCTCATACAAAATAAACTTACATATGTATTTTATTAATTTCCAATTCACTGTATTGAACCGAATCAGCTCGCGTCCGTTCCAACTGCTAGTATTATTCAAAACTAGTCGGATGCGCGCGTATGTTTATTGTTACTATAATCTAAATACGGCCATTGGTCTATAGGTCCGAGTCGTTTTATATTTTGCTTCTTAACTTGCATGAATCGTTCGAACCTTGTCGTTGGGCCTGTCATTGCAAACGATGAATAAGTCAGTGTGGTCGTTACAGAAACTTCGACAATCGGAACAGGATTTTAGCGGTGGAAGTAATTTAGTTGTCTGGCAACCATCTTTTAATTTATTATATATACATATTTTCCAAAACAAATTGTGATACGTTTTAATGTTCTTGTAAATCTTTTTTCAGGCCGTGGAAACTGACCAAATCATTAAAGGAATTATTGTTTGATGAAGTGACATATATAAATATCAAATATCTTTATTGATAAGATAGTTGATTCAATCAATAAATAGCAGACATAAGTAATTGTTTATTTTATTATTTATTAATTATAGCAGCTCTAATCTGTATTAGCCCATCTAGACTATAGGCCGTAGTTGAAAATTGTTATAAAGTGCCTCATGAAGTTGGTGAAGGGTATATCTCTATTTGATAATTAAATTTGATAAAGTATGACCCTAAAATCAAATGTTCTCCCGAAAAAATGGTTTGGTAATTAGTAATTAGCGTTTAAAATTGCATTTTTCAATTTTTAGCAAATCAGATTTCACTTTTGCCGTAAGCACTTTACGCCAAGATGGCCAATGGAATCTAGTACATATTCATTGCACTTTCTCGTGAAGCATTGTGGTCATAACGGGAGGAACCCTATGTCGATATCCACCCCACGTTTTTCCGGTCCAGAGTTATGAACGTGACCGAGGCTACACTTTTTATCGGAGTTGTATCAAATATTAGGAGCTAAAACGATCAACTGTATCTTTAACTGACCATTTATTTCAACGTTTAGATTACAATTGCTTTTGTAATTGGGTGGGGGGGGGTAGAGCACAAGCGATCTAACTACCAACCGTTTTAGTTGATTGTTAGTCACTTGTGCTCTATCCTTCCAATTGGAACAAGACCTCAGTCCTTCTGAAACTGGAACCAAGCTTTAGTCCTTTTGAAACCTTAGTCCTGTTGAAATAAGACATTAATATGATAACCCAAAATATTGATTTCAGTAACCATGAAAATCTTATTCGATATATACACAAGTAAAACAATTGTGATTTGGGATTTTATTTTGACTGCCGTTTTAACTTATTTACGCCCTCTTCGCTATTCAAAATTTATTTTTATTACCGAAATTGAACTCAGCAACCTCAATAATCTTATATAAGACATACTACAAGCAATATTCAACGGAATAATGAATATGTCGATGAATTAAAATAATCCGCCATTTTGGTGACCAATTTAAATTTATGCCATCTTGGATTCTCGATCACATTTGATATCAGAATTGAACACAGCATCATCGAAATCCTTGTTAATACATTTGTAAAGGCATATCCATCAGGAAAATTGATTTAATTTCAATTCCGCCATCGAAAACCACATAAAAAAACATAGTAAAATTTATATCTTTCGGATTGCGATACTGACCGGTTATATGAAAATGAAATGAAAAGGGGTTTAACGTCCCATTGGCATTGTTCTGCTCCGACCGGGACTGGTTATATGAGGCGGGGGGGGGGGCAGTTTATTACTAATTTTGGCAGGCATACAAAAATTGACCTTCACCAAGTTAAAAATACATGTTTGTATTCGATTTTAAAATAGAATTATTACTTTTAATTGTTCACTAGTTTCCATCCTTTTTATTCAATTTATTATTTGTTGGTGGTGTGGGTGTGTTTATGGGGGGGGGGGGCGAGGTCTCCGTGAACGTCACTTACCCAATCCACTGGGATTCTTTTCCAGGTTATCCTGTTTTTTTCAGGCTCCCAGAGAGATGATTATCGATATCCCCAGCCAATATTTCCCAACCGGGATCGGCAGCATAGGATCACTTCGAATTTTGTTTTGTTTGAAGTGTGGGTGTTTTCTCTGCTATCAATTTTACCTTCTTTATTCTAATTAGTTTAATTTTAATTAGTTGTGTAAATTATATAAATTGATTTGTTGAATTTATCTCACGTATATAATATGTAAATTATTAGACTCATTTTTATTGGATTTATCTTTTTTTTTAATTTGACATAGACGACCTTTAAATTACTGAATTTATTTGGTAGAATTAAACGCGACAATTTTGAACTTGGTTTATTATTTAACTCTGTTTGTTGAAATAATCTTAATTAATAAAAACTACCTTCATTTAAAAAAAACTACCTTAATTAATGCAAAAAGCTGTCCTCGTTAATAAAAACTATCTTAATTTTTAAAAAAATCTATCTTAATTGTATTAATGTCTAGAAAAACAAAACTATCTTGATTAATAAACAAATATCTTAATTAATAAGATCTTGAAATCAAATACAAAGCTCAATGTGCAATTTCGGCAAAATCGATTAACTACGTAACATGGACTTGACACGCGGGGGAGATCCTCTAATGCAAAGTGGTTCCAGGTGTTCAAGAATCAGATCCTGTCTCGAGCACTACGTCCACCACTTCCGTCGTGTTAGATGAAAAATTGTTACCTGCATAATTGTCCAATTTATATTATTTTATTTTATATAGATGTGTAAAGTATTTCATTTGTTTCATTTATTTGGGGGTTTCAATCAGTTTCTTGAATAAATTATCTGCATCCGCAGTCTTTCAGTTATTTGTTCCCCTTATAATGGAGTTATAAAACATCACCGAATAGTACAAAGTCTTAATCACAGATGGTTCTGGTTGCAGCCGGAATACTCACACAAGAATTATAGACAACCGCACCTCGAAAATAGAGTTGACGCAGGGGGGAAGGGGATCCGAATCCACGCAACAGTAAAGTCACCGAATAGTACAAAGTCTTAATCACAGGTGGTTCTGTTAGCAGCAGGAATACTCACAAGAATTATAGACAACCACATCTCCACGCAACATTAACAAGTTAATACCATATGGTATATTTGGCTAGGTGTATAAGACGCTAGCTCACTAGCCTAGAGGTAGGGTGTTCGATCCCTGCATTGGCCGAGAAAGTTTATCCAGAATTTCCGGCGTGGTTCCCCCTTGTCAGTGATACAGGACGGAGGGCCATACAAGGACAGCTGTCTAGTCGTACGGATGGCATGAAAAACCGAGGCTCCGTGTACACATTGGCGTGCGCGGAAAAGATCCCCTGACAGTTAGAATTCGATATAAGAGTAGGCCATAGTGCCGCTGTCCCGGCAAAATTTCCCTCATAGCACACTGTATGGCGTATGCCCGTCTTCATTAGACCAGTTCGGAGCAGAATAGTAGGACGTTAAACCCCATTTCATTTCATTTAATATTTGAGTACATGTGTCTTCAGGAATGGGCGGTAGTTTTCATATCCAGGATGGTGGTTGTCTAGCAACCCTGTGTATACTTATCATGTATAAATTGCATAAATAACTCGTCTCCTGGTAACCCTAACCCTAACCCTAGCCTTAACACAGAATCTCGTCAACAATCACGTGCCCAAACCCTATGAACATCTCACTACCTTGACGAAATCTGCAGTTGACCGTAATATTTAGACCTTGCCCCTGACATAATATTCATAACATAATATTCCCAGAGAAAACCTTAGCATTATCTACAAGTAAAACAATCGCCACTTTGGATTCTATATTGTGCCGTTTTAATTTTACGCCATATCGTCTATTCAGAATTCGTTTAGCAGTGGGAGGAAACCGGAGGACCCGGAGAAAACCCACGAGGTTGAGGGTAAAAGAAGTAAGCAAAGTAATTGGTTTCGCCGACTTTCACAAAAGAAACGCCCTTGGTTTTACCTGTTGTACTTGTCTTGTCACCTTCACTCTAATTAAAATCCTGAATTATAGTTACATCTAGATAGTTGGTTGTTTCTATATCTGTAGAAAACTACGTTAGTTGTTTTTTATTTATAATTTTGCTCTTTCATTTAGTCGTTAGGAGCACCATCTTTTGGTTTAATACAATTTACATCTCCTAAGACCATGACCATGAGGGTCGAATACCAAACATAAGCCTAAGAAAGGAAATATATCACCCTTAAAATGGCAGACCGGTAGACGATGCCTTTAGGGGATAACTGGTTTTGGTTGGGATCAGGGACGGATATGGGGGGGTCCGTGGGCCTGACAAAAGTCTGTAGAGGCTCTGGCTTAGGGGGGGGGGGGGGGGGTATGGCCACCCTGGGATGAGAAATTTTTTGTAAAACGGACTGTAAATGTTGCTTTCCTGATGTTTATGGCTTATGCACAGATTTAGGGTATGGCAATTAATTCATCAAAAACCGACGTGCACGGCGAGTTAATGCCAACCAGCAGTTAGAGCACAGAGCACAAGGTCATTGGAGCAATAAAGTACTATGAAATCAAGTGAAATGGACCCGTCACAGAAATTGGGTCACATTCCCACCCATGTGCGATGGAAACAAGTCGGGGTTTGTGTGGAATTTTCATCCTGGACCTAGACATACTACATAATTCGGATGAATCCAACCGATATCAAAATACGTGCTTGTTACGTTATATTTTTTCTATAATTATTTTCAAATAAAAGTAACAATTCTGCTTTTAGATGTTAAAAAAAATAATACGCTTTTTAAAAGAATTTTAATTAACAGCAGCAGATAAATGACATTAGCAGGAATAAACTGATATACATTCAGAGATATAAAGTTTTAAAAGATTTTGGAAATTTTTGTTCTTTTAAAATATCAATACTGATACAATACAATACAAAACAAAAATTAGTATACATAATATTATAATAAAGGGTTAAAAATATACGTTTAGTAAATAAAAATATATATGGTAATAACTAAATAAATATACATAGTTCCCAAAGTTCGACATGGTTCTTCCTGATAATGAAGTATCCCTCACAGAGACTTGTGTTCACAAGTTTTCAAAATCTTAAACTAAAACGGTTAGATATGTTAGAGCTATTAAATAAACTGGACATTTGGCAATCCTTACACTGATTAGGGGTATACACATAGACATTTTCATTGTTTTTGTTCAATGTGTGAACAGTCTAAAGTCACCAGTGGCTGATTCTGTTCTGAAGACAGATAGAAAGTATCGACTCATTTATTCACAAAATGTAACCTGATTTTTTTTTTACATTTCTGTGTGGATGGACATATATGAGTTTTTTTTATCGGACGTAATCAAGACATTAATAAATTTAATTTCGACGAAGTTTCATAGATGCCTGTCACGCACTTTGGTACATGCGCGATCGCAAGAAATTGTGGTTGGATATATGGACATATACAAAGAGCACATATCTAAAACAATAATTAGAGATAAATACAAATTTCGTAAGTGTATTTCTAAAATTTAACATTTTCGTATTTTTCGGTCTCAGTTATAGGCGTACAAAAATATCTTATAATTACCACAATTCAACACAAGGTAGGTACGATCATGCTCTAAAATCCATCAGTTTTAGTGATAATGTCAACGATTGTGGTGTACTAAGATGGAATTTGTCTGAATGTCGCCCCTAATTCAAAATAAACAAATAAAACTAACAATTCATTAATAAATTAAAACTGAAAATCAAAGAACTAAATCGTTTGAGAAAAGCACATATCTTTAAACAGCAATTAAAATTTAATTAAAAAGCGCCCACAAACTTCACAGATGGCATGTGAAGTTAATTGATTTTTAAATCTGCATTTATGAAGCGGGGTGTACAAAGTGGCGGTATAGATCTGGAAGACAATTGGTATCCTTGGTTCCTGGAAACCCATGTGCAATACATGGTCTTGAGAATTGTATCAAACACATACGGTACACCATTTGAATTAGGTGCTAGAATGAGATCCATGATAGCTCGTGGTGTGACATCATAGGCCACTCGGAATGGGGTTAAACCTACATGGGCTGTAGTCGGGTAAATGGCAGAATAACACGAGGCCTGGATTCCATTTACAACAATGTGACCAGATTTCGTCATCGGGGAGAAGGCGCCAGTTCTTTCAATTAACTTTACATGCTGCACCATTTCTAACAACTGCCTATCGCCATCAACCGTTAACAGAAAATCCCCTACCTGAAATGCAAATATTGAATATCAATGCAAATTCTCGTATATTCGCAAGATGATTTGTGTGGCAATATTTCAGCGAATTCGAACTCATCTCAGATATCATAGACACAAATATACTAAGCAGCAAAAGACACGTCAGGTTGGTATGTTACTCTGAATAGACGCATTGCATAAAACTTGTCAAATGTTTTTATTGTATATTTGTGGCCACATCTCCAATTTTAACTGAGCAATGGGGGTCCTTCCCAAACACAGAATTGAACCCAGAAAATGTTCTCAAATACCTAACCTGACTTCTGAGATGGTAATGTGTTTTCCATGCATCCCCATACTTGGTTGAATCATTCACACTACAACGTCAGCAGCACGCCACGACTCACGACAGCTTAGAGGAACCAGTCTGCTTGGAAGACTCGAAGCTGGCCACACTGCCAAGGCCGTTGCCAATCACTTCCAGTTCAATGTTCGGGCCATGTACGGGAAACAACAATGCTTTCGGGCCAACACCACGGATGATCGTCCCCGAACTGGTAGACCAAGGATTACTACAAGGCGACAAGACCGCCATGTTGTGCGACAGCACGTGCAGAATTCCTTCACAGAGGCATCTGAGACAGAACGTCAGACAGTGGGAACACACGGAAGACCAATCAGTACCGATACAGTGCGCCAACGTCTCACCAGAGAGAACATCCATTGCCGTAGACCTTACCGTGGACTGATCCTCAACCCTCGCCATCGACGTGAACGTCTACAGTTTGCCCAACAACACCAGAACTGGCGATAAAGGCAATTGAGAACTGTTCTGTTCACAGGTGAGAGTCGGTATTACGTATCAACTGCAGATGGCAGGACCAGAATATGGCACCGAAGTGGCCACTGTGTTATCATGGAACGAGACTTATTGGGAGGTCCAAGCATAATGGTTTGGGGTGGAATCGGCCTGAACCAGACAGTGGGCCCTGTGGTGTATCAAAATCTTGGTCCAGGGAGCGGAGGCGCCATCACAGCTCTCAGACAGACCCCATGTCATACCGCATTTCGCACGTCATCGAAACAACGTTTTCCAGTATGACAACGCCCGTGCCCACACCGCCAGAGTTACTCGGGACTTTCTCTACAGCAGAACGGTGTCAACGTTGTCTACTGGCCAACAATGCCTTGGAATTGTGATGAATTAATCACTAATGTGTCAACATACTGTTCACAAAAAATTGCTTTGATCCATTTAGTAAGTCGTTTTCTAGAATGATTTGATTAAAGTGCCTCTCTGATTTTGAAATCGTACTGACATTTTTTTTTTGCTGTTTAGTATACAATGTTCTATTGCTTGTTTTGTTTTCATTCTTGGTTAAACCGGAACTCAATCCTCATCTCGCGGATATATAGCCGCATAGCAAGTGTCATTAAAATCGTATTACAAATGTAGACTCTATCGCCTTCATAAGCACGTGTGGACGGACGGGTGGGCGAACACGGGTAATGAAATAATATTTGGGGTATAAAAAGAAATCGAAACTAAGCATACATATGCCGTGGTTATTAATTTTACTATCTTCATAGAACAATATAAATAATTCGGAAGGTTTTACACACAATCAATGTATATATATATATATATATATAATGATTCAACTATAACTCAATACCTGGACATCTTGTGCCATTTTATAGATGTAAGTTGAATTAGAAGCAACCGGTAGATAATGCCAATGACTGATGGGTAATACATGTGTCTGTGTTGTAATTTCCAGGTATCTATTGGTCGAGTGGAGATCGTAATGACTATGACACCATACTTCACTGTAACCAACACTACCATCAGGGTTGATAACTTGTACTTCGTCACCAATTTCTATATCTTCTATGTATTTAACACCACCATTTCGTGTTAATAGTTCTGTTTGAGCGGGAAAACATGTTTCTGCAGGCAGAAAATGGAGAATTGTCAGTTATTTTAAGCTAATCCGAGTTTTAGTTATCATTTGATCTAGCATACAATGTGGAGGAAAACACTACAATCTTGATTTTACAAGTAAGAAGTTTTTCGTGTCGTTTTTTGTTGTTTTTATTTCGGTTGCATGGTAAACCGTATGATTGGGACAAGTTGAATAAATAACGTTTGTTATGTGTGGTTTAATGGTCGAGAGCGAGACATAAAGTAATATATTGAAACAACACGAGGGACGTAGTATTCTCTTCTGGAAAACTGGACTGTCATATTTAATAACTATCTGTTAAATGTTTTATGAATGCTGGTAATTACAGAAGAATTATTGCGTTAGCTATAGCTGTTTAGGCAAAACGTTTAGCAACACACCCAGATAACATTCTTGATAAATCGCATCTGATTCAGATCAGAAATAAATTAGTAATTTATTAATATTAAAGCCTAATTCCAAAGGCCAATGTTAGTTCACCAAACCAATACGACATATGTAATAGAACTGGTTAAACACAATACTGGCTAAAATGGAGAGCGATAACAGATGGAATGAAATGAAATGTGGTTTATGCCCCGACTGGGCTACTGAAGACGGGCATACGCCATACAGTGTGCTATGTGGGAAATGTTGCCCTGACAACCGCCATACGGCCTACTCTTATATTGAATTGCAACTGTTAATGGTTCTTTTACGTTAACATCAGTGTGCACACGGGATCCCATTTTTCGTCCTTGTCGGGCCCTCCTTTCTCCATCACTGACAAGGGGGAACCACGCAGAAAAATTGTGAGACATTTTCTAGGCCAACACCGGGAGCGAACCCCAGACCTCCCGGCCTGCGCCTTAATCACTGAGCCAGGGTTGCTCCCATGATAACAGACACACGGAGTGCACAAGGTGTTTCTATTTTAATCGTTTCGAACAGACATTCCTCTACAGTCTTAAATACAAATTCATTATCAGTTAGCTGAAAATCGACTGTTTGTTCGTTATCTCAATCAGGAATATTAACTTATGTTTCCTAAAACAAAAATACTAATGACAAAATTCTAAACAACGTCTACTATTGTACCAGGAAGCTTTTTTCTCATTAATCTTTGCTTGACCTTATGGCCTTAATCATCTACCCCCATCAAAGGACTGACCTTATAAACACCTGTGAATATTTTAGCTCAATTAGAGTTATCGTGTATTGTTTCTCAAAAACGGATAAACGTACGGACGGGCGGACGAACCCTCTAATTATAGTTTTCTGTTTTCGGAGGACAAAAAGATGTATTAGATATTTGGTTGTGTTGATTACTACTTAGTTTTCGCACTTGCCCAGTTATTTTATGAAATAACTCGAATGACACTAAACGTAGTATTTGAAATATTTATCTCACCATTGCAATTGTCACCTCTAAATCCATCCAAACACATACATGACACTCCACCAGCCTCTGGTACACAAGTTCCATTATTTAGACAAGGTTCAGTAGCACAAAGATCCTCTAGAATTGTATCAAAATAATCCTCATCAAAAAAAACATAATATACAATGAACACCTACACCGAGTTTGAACATAATATACAATAAACACCTACACCGAGTTTGAACATTCTAGCACAATTTGAAGGAGATTTATTGTGTCCCAAAACATGTGACGGCCAGACAGATAGATAATTGAACTCGGTTAAATTATTCACCTAATAAACACATACACCAGGTTTGCACATTCTAGCACACTTAGAAGAATAGTTATTGTGTCCCAAAACATGTGACGGCCAGACAGACAAATGAACAAGCAAATTATTCACCTAATAAACACATACACCAAGTTTGAAAAGTCTAGCCTAATTCCAAAAAACAAGCTTAGTTCACCACACCAATACGACATATGTAATACAACTGGTTAAACACAATACTGGCTAAAATGGAGAGCGATAACAGATGGAATGAAATGAAATGTGGTTTATGCACCGACTGGGCTAATGAAGACAGGTATACGTCATACATTGTGCTATGTGGGAAATGTTGCCCTGACAACCGCGCTACGGCCTACTCCAATATTGAACTGCAACTGTTAATAGTTATTTTACGTGAACATAAGCGTGCACACGGGATCTCATTTTTCGTCCTTGTCGGGCCCTCCTTTCTCCATCACTGACAAGGGGGAACCATGCAGAAAAATTGTGAGAAATTTTCTAGGCGAACTGCGGGAGCGAACCCAGGATCTTCCGACCAGCGCTTTACTCACTGAGCCACCGTTGCTCTCATGGTAACAGATACACAGAGTGCACAGGGTGTTTCTATTTGAATCGTTTCGAACAGACATTCTTTCACAGTCTTAAATACAAATTCATCATCAGTTAGCTGAAAATCAGGAATATTAACTTATGTTTCCTAAAACAAAAATACTAATGACAAAATTCTAAACAACCTCTACTTTTGTACCATGGAGCTTTTTCCTCATTAATCTTTAATCATTAATCATCTACACCCATCAAAGGACTGACCTTATCAACACATGTGAATATTTCAGCTTAATTAGAGTTATCGTGTATTGTTTCTCAAAAACGGATACACGTACGGACGGGCGGAAGAACACTCTAATTATAGTTTTCTGTTTTCGGAGGACAAAAAGACGTATTAGATATTTGGTTGTGTTGATTACTACTTAGTTTTCGTACTTGCCCAGTTATTTTATGAAATAACTCGAATGACACTAAACGCAGTATTTGAAATATTTATCTCACCCTCGCAATTGTCACCGATAAATCCATCCACACACGTACATGACACTCCACCAGCCTCTGGTACACAAGTTCCATTGTTTTGACAAGGTTCAGCAGCACATAGATCCTCTAGAATTATATCAAAATAATCCTCACCAAAATAACAAAATATACAATAAACACCTACACCGAGTTTGAACATTCTAGTACAATTTGAAGGAGATTTATTGTGTCCCAAAGCATGTGACGGCCAGACAGACAGACAATTGAACTCGATCAAATTTTTCACCTAACAAACACATACACCAAGTTTGAACATTCTAGCACAATTAGAAGAAGAGTTATTGTGTCCCATAACGTGTGACGGGCAGATAGACGGGCGGGCGGGCGGACCCATTTTAATAGTCCCCTGCGTTCTTCGAAAGGTACGGGGGGGGGGGGAGCAAAAATAATAATACAAGAACATAATATACAAGAAAATAATATACAGCCTGGTAATACGGTAATCCCCGGAAAAACTTTCCCGCTTGTTGAGGATACGACCGTAGTTCCCCTGGATGCAGAATGACCTAAATTGTTTTTTGGTTACCTTGCTCAATCTATCCAAATTGTACGTGCATGTGAGTATTTGTCAAAATAAAAGACCAATGACATATTCGAAAGATGGGGACAATAAGCAGACTTTATGATCATCTGAGTTTAATTCGACATACACAGACTGACCGGCAGACTACGTAAATGCGATCATTTGAAAACTATTGTACACATATAGCCGAGTAGAAATTATACATTTTTAAATAGTTTAACTGATTATAAGCAGTCGGATTACGTCATTAGATTTGTTGCGTTACCTAAAATAAGTATAAGTGACATGGGGGGAACCACGCAGAAAAATTGCTAGAAATTTTCTAGGCCAACACCGGGAGCGAACCCCAGACCTCCCAGCCAGCAGCTTAATCACTGAGCCACCGTTGCTCCCATGTTATCAGATACACAGAGTGCACAGAGTGTTTCTATTTTAATCGTTTCCAACAGACATTCCTCCACAGTCTTAAATACAAATTCATCATCAGTTAGGTGAAAATCGACTGTGTGTTCGTTATCTCAATCAGGAATATAAACTTACGTTTCCTAAAACAAAAATACTAATGACAAAATTCTAAACAACCTCTACTGTTGTACCAAGGAGCTTTTTTCTCATTTATCTTAAATCATTAATCATCTACACCCATCAAAGGATTGACCTTATCAACATATGTGAATATTTTAGCTCAATTAGAGTTATCGTGTATTAATTGTGTCTCAAAATCGGATACACGTACGTACGGGCGGACCGACGAGCCCTCTAATAGTTTTCTGTTTTCGGAGGACAACAAGACGTATTAGATATTTGGTTGTGTTGATTACTACTTAGTTTTCGTACTTGCCTAGTTATTTTATGAAATAACTCGAATGACACTCAACGCAGTATTTGAAATATTTATCTCACCCTCGCAATTGTCGCCGATAAATCCATCAACACACGTACATGACACTCCACCAGCCTCTGGTACGCAAGTTCCATTGTTTTGACAAGGTTCAGCAGCACATAGATCAACTAGAATTATATCAAAATAATCCTCATCAAAATAACAAAAGATACAAAACACGGCTTCACGTCTGATCACCAGAATAAGACTAAGCGACCACATTACACCTGTGCTCAAATCCCTGCACTTGCTCCCCATAAACAGAGATATTCAATATAAGATAATCCTCCTCACTTACAAGTGCATCCATGGTTTAGCTTCTAACTACCTGAGTGATCTTATACAAATCAAAAGTGGAGAAAGAACAACTCGATCAACACCTTGTTGTTCCAAAAACTTTGAAAGTGTTATGTGGTAATAGGGCAATTTCAGTGGCAGCAACCATCTAATGGAATAAACTCTCAGCAACATTTAAAGAAGTCAGAAGATTAGAAAATTATTCTTGAAAACTCACTTATCTAACTGTGAATACCAAACGTGACGGTGCAGCTCAGCACTATCGAGTAGAACAGTTCTAGGGTAGAGGCGCTATACAAATTCATTATTATTTATTTATTTTTTTTTTTTATTTATATACAATAAACACCTACACTGAGTGTGAACATTCTAGCACAATCTGAAGGTGATTTATTGCGTACCAAAACATGTGACAGCCATACAGGCAGACAATTGAACTCGATCAAAATTTCCCCTAATAAACACATACACCCAGTTTGAAGATTCTAGCACAATCAGAGGAAGAGTTATTGTGTCCCATAACGTGTGACGGACAGACAGACGGGCGGACGGACCCATTTTAATAGTCCCCTGTGTTCTTCGAAAGCTGGGGGGGGGGGCAAAAATAATATACAGCCTGGTAATACCGTAATCCCCGGAAAAAATTTCCCGCTTGTTGAGGATGCGACCGTAGTTCGTCTGGATGCAGAACGACCCAAATTATTTTTTGGTTACCTTGCTAAACCTTGTCAAATTGAACGTGCACGTAAGTATTTGTTAAAAGAAAAAGACCAATGACAGACATATTCGAAAGGTGGGGACAATAAGTAGACTTTATGATTATCTGCGTTTAATTAGACATACACAGACTGGTCGACAGACTACGTAAATGCGATCATTTGAAAACTATTGTACAGATTTAGCCGAGTAGAAATTATACATTATTTAAATACGTTAAATGATTATAAGCAGTCGGATTACGTCATTAGATTTGTTGCGTTACCTAAAATAAGTATAAGTGACATGGGGGGGGGGCCACGCAGAAAAATTGCTAGAAATTTTCTAGGCCAACACCGAGAGCGAACCCCAGACCTCCCGACCAGCGCCTTACTCACTGAGCCACCGTAGCTCCCATGATAACAGATACACAGAGTGCACAGAGTGTTTCTATTTTAATCGTTTCCAACAGACATTCCTCTACAGTCTTAAATACAAATTCATTATCAGTTAGCTGAAAATCGACTGTGTGTCCGATATCTATTTCAATCAGTAATATTAACTTATGTTTCCTAAAAAAAAAAGTACTATAATGACAAAATTCTAAGCAAATTTTTAGAAAAAACATACATATAAATATGAGAATTTGAACTCCAAAATACTGAATCAAAATCGTCGATACAACCACTATTGTTGTACCAGGGAGCTTTTTTCTCATTAATCACTGCTTGACCTTATGGCCTTAATCATCTACCCCATCAAAGGACTGACCTTATAAACACCTGTGAATATTTTAGCTTAATTAGAGTTATCGTGTATTGTTTCTCAAAAACGGATACACGTACGGACGGGCGGACGAACCCTCTAATAGTTTTCTGTTTTCGGAGGACTAAAAGATGTATTAGATATTTGTTTGCGTTGATTAATACTTAGTTTTCGTACATGCCTAGTTATTTTATGAAATAACTCGAATGACACTCAACGCAGTATTTGAAATATTTATCTCACCCTCGCAATTGTCACCGATAAATCCATCTACACACATACATGACACTCCACCAGCCTCTGGTACACATGTTCCATTGTTTTGACAAGGTTCAGCAGCACATAGATCAACTAGAATTATATCAAAATAATCCTCATCAAAATAACATAATATACAATAAACACGTACACCGAGTTTCAACATTCAAGCACAATTTGAAGGAGATTTATTGTGTCCCAAAACATGTGACTGGCAGACAGACAGACAATTGAACACCATCAAAGTATTCACCTAATAAACACATACACCAAGTTTGAACATTCTAGCACAATTAGATGAAGTGTTATTGTGTCCCAAAACCTATGACGGACAGACAGAAAGGAAAACAAACAGGCAGACGGTCAGACCCATTTAATAGTCCCCTGTGTTCCTCGAAAGGTGTGTGTGGGAGTGGGGGGGCCAAAAAATATACAAGAACATAATATACAAGAACATAATATACAGCCTGGTAATACGGAAATCTCCGGAAAAACTTTCCTGCTTGTTGATGATGCGACCGTAGTTCCCCTGGATGCAGAACGAACCAAATTGTTTTTTGGTTACCTTGCTCAACCTATCCAAATTGAACGTGCATGTGAGTATTTGTTAAAAAAAAAACCCAATGACAGACATATTCGAAAGGTGGGGACAATAGGTTGACTTTATGAATATCTGAGTTTAATTCGACATACACAGACTGGCCGACAGACTACGTAAATGCCATCATTTGAAAACTATCGTACACATTTAGCCGAGTAGAAATTATACCTTATTTAAATGCGTTAAATGATTATAAGCAGTCGGATTACGTCATTAGGTTTCTTACGTTACGTAAAATGAGTATAAGTGAGATTACGTTACGCTACGTAGAATGAGTATTAGTGAGATTACGTCATTAAATGTGTGACGTAGAATGATTACGAGTTCAATCCAGAACCATGATCAGATAAGACTAGATGCAGATAACTAATATAAACAGGGGGTCTACATGTCTAACGTGTGCGCTTTAGATCCTATGGTCTGCCATTGAATCTAGTGGCGTGGATCTGGATCCCACACTGGACAAGCAGTAGTGGCCCCCTGTCAACCTAGTAAGTTTTCTCCGGGTTCCCACTTTCTTACTACAGCTAAAGGCCACAACGCACAAGCGAAATATTGAAATGAAATTTAACAATATGTTTTTGTCGCGTGAGTATTACAGATACATACTCACGAAAGTATTTATAGTGTAAGTGTAGTTATTTCCAATAAAAGTATGGCAAAATTGGTATAAACGGAAGGTAGAGACGCCCAATCTTACAAGAAAAATACCGGGTTCCCTGAAAAACACCCATGACTGGCAACCGGACGGTTTATTATATGTCAGCTTGATTTAGGGAGCGGTTGTTATTTCTTGATCGAATGTTTGGGCGGCTTGGGGAATATTGATGGGTTAAAACGTACAAGACTTTGCTATTAAACGCCGGAAAAGGACGTTGGCAGAAGATAATCCAATAATTTACTTAGGCTTCAATATGTATGGATAGACGGTAAGTACCGACAAATACATTCTGAAATGGGCCCTCCCTCCATCAAGTTATATGACAAACATGGCTTCTAAATATAGATTGTTTTATATCTTGGGGGATAAAATGTTTTGAGAGGGATTTGGAGCAAATTTTTGATAGAATAATTAGTTACAATATGTTTTTAGTTCAAATATATCATCACATCACCAAGTTTGTACGAGGGAAGGCATCTTTAAACTCTCTCTCAACAACAAGGCAACTAATACAAATATTTTGCTGGTATAAAATACAGTATTAAAATAGACGCGATAATATTATAGTAATATTTAAAATATTTATCTTACCCTCACAATTGTCACCGGTAAACCCATCCGCACATTGACATGACACTGCACCAACCTCTGGTACACAAGTTCCATTATTTTGACAAGGTTCGGCAGCACACAGATCCACTAGAATTATATCAAAATAATCTTCATAAAAGTATTCTACATCCTTCCAGTATATTATTATATAGTAACACAAATTGAAAGATGTCAGGTCTACTTTTATTTGATGTTTAGAAGTGTGCATTTATTTTTGTTTCTTACTTGCCTTGTAGAACGTTATATAATAACTCGGTAGCCGTCGTGTATATTCTTCATATTTCAAATGATAAAGTTTATAATATTATTTTCCTCGCGGATGACACAGGTAGAAGCGTATATTATACACGAAGTCAAATTGTCGCTCAGATTTGTTAACTCTTACACATTTGACAAATACCCTTTACGTGAGTTCCGGTAAAAGTTATTATTTAGAAAATTTAAAATACCATCCGGTGAATACTTGCTGTATAGGACCGTCTTTGGTTACAATATTGCTACTAATTCTTACCACCACAATCTGCTCCGGAGAAGCCACAGGGACAATTACAAATACCATTAACACACACTCCATTGTTAAGACACTCAACGTCATCACAAGGGTCTAAACAACATATTAATGATATTATAAATTAGTATAAATATGTTTATAGAAAATCTGACAAGGACAGCTGTCTAGTCGTTCGGATGGGACGAAAAACCGAGGTCCCGTGTACACATTGGCGTACACAAAGACCCCTTGACAGTTGGAATTCGATAAAACAGTAGGCCGTAGTGCCGCTGTTCGGGCAAAATTTCCCTCATAGCACACTGTACGGCGTATGACCGTCTTCATTAGCCCAGTTTGGAACAGAACAGCAGGACGTTAAACCCCATTTCATTTCATTTTTATAGAAAATCTAGGCATAAATATAAGGCACGACAACTTTCTTTTTCTCAGGATGAAAATTTCGAAACCATCTCTTGACAACGTATACCTAAATCTGAATTTAGAATAAGGTGGCCGCCTAAGCTGTAGGTGTAAAAAGAGGTCTGTGTTTCAAGTCGATATTTACTGTCTGTTCCAGGTGACACTACGACACGACAATTGCTTGCCATTTCTTCAATTTTTAATTTAGACGACTAAAACTTAGTGACATACCTGGAATCGCCATCCCATTACTTTCTTACACGAGGAAACCAAATTCAGATCAAGCTACATAACCTCTCTCTCGTGAAAAATCATAGTTTGTTTACATCCCGCGGTTTAACATCAGCCATGTTTGACATAGTTATCCGGAAGAGTTGAAGAGGGAGGGGGCGTTGGTTTGGCTCGAGTCGTTTCGGTCTACTTGGATGTCAAGGAAGTTGTTTCGTCCAAGTAGAATATAACTTTTATTTTTACGGAATCCAAGACCACCGCAGTTTGTCCAACTGAGTTGAATATTTAATTGGCCCTGAGGGCTGTAGCGTTTTGATATTCAAATAAATTCCCGTCTTGCTCTCCATATTTACGAGGACTATCCAGATATATATCAGCTAATTTGCGATAAGATAATATTTTGTATTAATTATTATTATAGATAGTGCCAACATGTATACCATGCCGTTTATTCTGTGTCAATCGGATAGTTTATAGGCTAAAAACTGCAAGGCCAAAGGGAAATAATCTGGACAAATATATTTTGAATATTTATATACAGCTGATCAGAACCTTGGAAAAATAATAGTGTTTATAAAAATGTCATATCTCTAGACCTTACTCCCAAAAACCGAGTGGCTTAATGGGCAGTTTCTGCAAAATAAGCGGGTTAAAACAGAACATAATATTAATCCGACCAAAAAACATGATCCACAGTCTGAAACCTAAGTATTACTGCCGCAATAGAAAGGGCGAATTTTCCTTCACTATATATTTAATGTACCCGATTAGGAGATACCTGTCTATCCTATACGCGAAATACAAGTCTCTTATTACGCAGACACACTCGTAATGTTGATGTTTTGAGAAAGAAACGATGTCGAAATATGTGAAATTTCCAAGAGGAGAGTGAATCTTATCGAACGTTTAGGCGTTAGGGCTCGACGAAGAGAGCAACGGGATGACAATTTCAGGTATGTCACCAATTTTTGACCGATTAAATGGAAAACTGAAGAAATGGCAAGGAATTTGAGAGTCAGAGTATCTCTTGGAACAGACAGTAAGATGAAAATTAGAAGAGAATAAAATGAAAATGATGTGACGATTTAATAGGGGCATTGTGAACATTAAGTAAATAGTTTTAGTGGGAAAATATTGTTATTTCCTGTGTTTTTTAACATAATAATATAACTGTATAAGAGGCTATCTAATACAGGTGAACACTGAACTGTACTCTACCAACACCAGCGATATTCGTTGTTTTGGTGTATGTTGTAATCTGCTAGATACAAATAAGCAATTTGAGATCAAAATGAGTTCTAGAGGAAAAGAAAAGAATCCAGGGACTCCGAGATTTACACGAAGCTCTGGCAAGGGAGAAATGTCGGAAATTACTGACGGTGAAGAAGCTAATAGGGATATAACAGGTATATATATGCAATTTTAGACTCAATAAAACACGAGATAAGCCAAATAATTAAAAAGGATGATATGAAGATTATTATAAATGAGATAAGTGAATGTGTCCTTGAAACACTAAGGAAGGAGATGAAAATAGAAATAAAAAAGCTAGTAAATGATGCTACCGATGTTATACGTGAGCAATATGACGCAGATTTGGGCCAAAATGAACAATTGCATGCTGAAAAAAGGGAATGCAGACTAAAATAGATGATCTAATAACTAAAGCAAAAATTGGACATAGTAAGGCTAATGATGCATTAAGAATGGCAAATTATAATGAACAATATTCCAGGAAAATGAATATCAGAATTTTCGGACTGCCAGACCAACAATTACAAGAACTGCAAAACACTTTCATTGATACAATAAAAAGGTGTATTCCCACGAAGGCGCAGTTACAGAGCGTGACCAAAATTAATCCTTCCCACGAAGGCGCAGATATCGACTTGTCGGCTTTCGTTTGAAGAGAGGCATGTTGCTATTAGGACCCAATTAAGGGCGTTAAAGATTTTATGAATTTATGTTCACTCTGAACCAACAACACTCTGGAAGGATGGCATGCAAGAATCAAGAAGATAGTTGGAAAAGCCAATCCGAATGTTTTTGAAATGATCACATTTTTACAACAAGAACAAAATATTAACTACCAAGGAAGAGATATGAATATGCTCAAATCCAAAGCCAGCTCCAGGAATTAAAAGGAAGACACGAAGAAGAGGAATTGACTTTAGTCGAGTATTTATTTCGCGAAATTAAATTAATTTTTGTTATAGTGTAGTTATGTTTTCATTTCTTATGCCAAAAATGATGCTAAAATGTTGGTTAATTAGTTACATTGGGGATTATGAAAGTGTAAATTCTTATCATAACAATCTATAACACCATTGTTACAATTTTAATCCCTAGGAGCTGGATTATTATAGGATGTCAAAAAAGTATATACATGTATAGAGAATATCCTACCAGTCTTTTTTGATATCAAAAAATATCAACACAAGTTGATAAAGTAACAAAAAACGAGGCTCTGCCGATTTTTTTTTTACTTTATCAACGAGTGTTGATATTTTTTGATATCAAAAAAGATAATTAGGAGATTTTATTTATCACCCAATCCCTTCTTACATGCACAAATAGATAAATATAATTCTTTGCTGTAGATTTCAATTTTACTGAACATTACGGCGTAGTGATACATTATTTTTGATAGCAATTCAACCATTGCAAAGTCCTTTATATTGACCCAGTGTTTCCATCAAGGTCAATTGAATAACAATAGTTCATTTTTAATTTTAAAAAAAAAGTTACTTTTAATAAGAAATGAACTGTTCTTTGAAAATAAAAAAAAGTAGTTCCTTTTCAACTGACCAATCAAATTCATGTAGATTATGAAATATATCACACAAGCGATATCAACTGTAGAATGTATTATTTGGTGATGAAATGAAAATATTACAAGTAGCTACTGTCTCTGACATATGAGTAAACCTTAATTAACCATATTACACATGTACATGTATATTGAATATTAGAAACTTTATATTAAGAATGATACATACAATTAAAATGAAAATCTCTATATATGAACAATACATAAAATTAAAGTGATCGTTACTTTGACACAACATGAATACTACATACAGTTAAAGTGATGATTTCCATGAATTATTATAAATTATAAATGTATTGTCGAATTATAGGGATAGTATATAATTTACATACAAATAGTGATAGCTCTTATATGATAATATAAGTTACATTTTTTTTATAATGAATAGTGTCTTCTAGTCAAATGATAGTTAGCTGAATATTATATACCACTAAAGCAATACTCCTTGTGCAATATTATAATCTACAACTTTATTGGTGAATATTACATATACAACTAAAGTGGATAATCTCTTTGGGATATTATTAGCTTCAACTATATATATGAATAGTACATATTATAAGATCTAACTTTTTATGATGATTATTCCATATTCCTATATTTATATACGTTTAAAATACTAGTCTCTATATTCTACTATAATTTTTTATGAGGGTTACAATCCTTAAAGTATTAATGCAATCACTTAAAATGATAGTCCCTGTGCTATACACAATTTGTAACTGTATAGGATGAATATTACATACATTTAAAGTGATAGCCCTCAAGCTACATGATAATTTATAACTTTATAGGATGAATATTTTATACTATTAAAGGGATAGTCACTATGCTATAAGATAATTTACAACTTTATAGGATAAATATTATATACTATTAAAGTGATAGTCCCTAAGCTATATATAATTTACAACTTTATAGGATGAATATTATATACATTTAAAGTGATAGCCCCTATGCTATATGATAATTCACAACTTTATAGGATGAATATTTTATACTATTAAAGTGATAGTCCCTAAGCTATATGATAATTTACAACTTTATAGGATGAATGTTATATACTATTAAAGTGATAGTACATACGCTATACGATAATTTACAACTTTATAGGATGAATGTTATATACTATTAAAGTGATAATTACTGTGTGCTATTATAACTCACAACTTTAAAGGATGAATATTACATACTATTAAAAGGATATTCCTTATATATTATCATTAAAAGTTATAGTGTGAATACTGTACATATTTAAAATGGTAGACACCATGAGATATTATAAGTTATAGATTTATAGGATAAATATCTTAAGCAATTTAAAGTGATAATCCCTATGAAATATTATAATTAACAACTTTATAGGACGAATATTACATGCAGTTAAAGTGATAGTCACTGTGTGTTACAATAATATAGCATGAATATTACTACAGATTAAAGTGATAGTCCCTTTTGGATAATCTAAGTTATAAGATTAGAGGATGAATATTACATACAGTTAAAGTGATAGTCACAGTGTATTATTATACATTACAATAGTGGATTAATTGTACATTAATTAAAGTGACAGTTCTATGGTGTATTATAAGTTACAATAGTAAATGATAAATTTACATTTGGAGATTTTTTT